ACACACAGACACACACACACACACACGGGTCATGAATGAGGAGCTGCCTCCCCAACAGAAGGCTCAGACACGAGGAGAAGCCAAAAAGGCCTCCTCATGGATCCAGGAGCAAAGGATTCCCTTCTGTGGCCTAAATTCTAAACTCCACAGTGCATTATCGAGCCATATGTCCCTGGAACCAACTGCCAATAACCACACCAAGAGTTCGGAACAGAACAAGCTTAAAAAAGATACTGTCTTTAGAACTACTGCAGAGAGAGCCATGGTTGTGCTCCAGGTTTCTGCCTGTTAAAGGAAGTTTTTCCTTGCCTGTGTCGCCTAGTGCTGCTCATGGTGGGAATTGTTGGGTTTCTGTAGTTAACTTCAGAGTAGGTCTGACCTGCTCTGTTTGGAAACATATCTGTTGTTGTGATGTGGAGCTGTATAAATGAAATTGAATTCAATTGAATTAATTTTCATTTTGTAACGTAAAAAAAAAAGATGATATGATTGACTGACCTGTGTATATATGTTGTATATTTCTACTCTTGTTTATGTTCTTATAGTTATCTTACTGTGATTTTTTTTAATGGTTTGTTCATGATGTAATGCCATTTCTTCATGTGAGGACCCCAGGAAGACTAGTGGCCATTTATCTGGCAGCTAACGGGGATCCTGATAAAACTAAACTGCACTAAACCCCGTTTTGGGGCTGAAGCAGAGGCGTCGCCGTGGCAACCCCTACCCTGCACGGTGAGCGGTGCGGAGCTGCTGGCCTGGCCGTAGTCGTTCTGCGCCTGGCAGCTGTAGAGCGCGGCGTCCTCGGGGAACACCTCCAGCAGCAGCAGCGCGTGCTCCTCCCCCTCCTGCAGGAACTTGCACTTGTACCCGGCGGCCAGCGCCTGCTGGTCCTTGTACCAGGACACCTGCGGCCGCGGGAGGCCGCTCACCTGCGCAGAGAAGCGCGCCGAGCGGCCCGACATGGCGGCCTGCGGCTGCATGTGGCGCACCACCCGGGGAGGCTCGGGCACTGGGCGGGAAACACAGGTATCAGCATTAAGGAGGGCGGGAAACACAGGTATCAGCATTAAGGAGGGCGAGAAACACAGGTATCAGTATATCGGGGGGGCGGGAAACAGACATCAGCATTAAGGAGGGCGGGAAACACACATCAGCATTAAGGAGGGCGGGAAACACACATCAGCATTAAGGAGGGCGGGAAACACAGGTATCAGCATATCGGGGGGGCGGGAAACAAAGGTATCAGCATTCAGGGAGGGCGGGAAACACACATCAGCATTAAGGAGGGCGGGAAACACACACATCAGCATTTAGAGAGGGCGGGAAACAGACATCAGCATTTAGGGAGGGCGGGAAACAGACATCAGCATTTAGGAGGTCATAACACCCCTGAACTCAGGGTCAGCACCCCTTTTTAAATTCCTAGGGGTGACCTTGGCGGAGGACCTGTCTTGGGGCACTCACAGCGCCTTTTCTACCTGAGGAGCTACACATCCCCAGGCCACTGCTGGTGAACTTTTACAACTGTGCCATCAGCAGTGTTCTGACTTATGGGTTCCTAGCGTGGTTCTCTAGCTCCTCCAAAGCAGACCAGCAGGCCCTCCAGCGTGTGGTGAAAACAGCAGGGAAAATCACTGGAAAGCCTCTCCCAGAGATCAGTTCCATCTACACCGCACGCTGTCTACGGAGAGTGCACAACATCATGCGTGACAGCCACCATCCTGCCCATCACTTGTTCCAACTTCTACCCCCAGGTAAAGGTACAGGTCCCTTCAGAGCCGGACCAAAAGACTGACCAACACCTATACCACCAGGCCATAAGACTTTTGAACTCAGGACTTTTGAGGAACGGACT